GCAGCAGCAGAACTCCGCGTTGTTGTGACACATCGCAGTGCTGCTGGTACTTCGCCTACGAACCCACAGCAGTCGATACTGACACCACTGACACCCAATGACACCTAATGACACCTCAACCCTTGCCCTAACTCACTTGTCTCATCCGTGTTGAGGATGCGTTCCGGCGGGAGCTTGGTCTCCTCCAGGTACTCCGCCCATGCTTTGTAGAAAGCTTGAAGGCGAGGCTCGCCGTCTTCGTTAATCCGGTTTGCTTCGTAGATGTGGGTGGCTCGCTCCGACAAACCCGGGTGTCTCGCCATAAACCCCTCAAGCCAGCTGTCCCCAGGGCCCTTGTCTGGGTCCCAGGGCACCTTGCGCCCGTCGGTGCAGATGTTGCGCACAGCGTCTCTCAGCTCCCTCCGACCCAACAGCAAGAAGTGTCGGGAGNTAGCAAGAAGTGTCGGGAGGCGTAAATCAAGACGTCTTCTACGAAATCTTCCTCCTCCTTGCTCAGGACAGTCCCGGGACCAACCCTCGCATCTATGGCCACCTTGTTCTTCACACGGTCGTGCAGCGAGGCTAGCGGTAACCCGTAGGTCCTCGCAGCAACGCGGAGCGACATCTCACCGCTGCNGATCAGGACAAGTTGGACACGGCTAAACGCGCCAAACACCTCAAAGTAGTACCCACGCGACCGACTACCAGCAGAGGTCAATCGAAGCGCACAAAGCACGCCAAAACCCAACGCAAAAGCAAACGAGAAAGGAAAGCAAACTCGCGGTATATATCACACATCCGCAAACGGTAAGAGGGATGCATGCGACTTTCGGAGCTACCTCAGCATTTGTATGGGGCAAATAAATGCTGGCGAGGAGGTCAAGCGACTCGCAGTCGAAGGCAGAGGATAGCAACTCACACGCCTCGACGCTGAGTCACAGATAGCGTTGTCTGGGAGACAAGCTGTCTGCTACACCGTTTTGTTTCCTTTCACCCCAAGCGGTCGTGCACCTATCAGTCAGTCGTGCCAAGCCCGCAGAAGCACGCACTTCACATTCAAGTAACCGATCGGTACACATTTGAATCGCAAGTTTTGCTTCCGATATCGATTCGATATCATCCGCTCGTGTTTGGGGAGATACACGAGGACATCCAACGAATGCTTCATTCAGCATTCCCTTGTCGAATATCTTGATTCATCGCATATCCAGGTATTCCGGAACTCTTCCTCAGGTATGGATCTGAAATGTCGATGTTCTTCCATAACGTGCTTACACAAAAGGAAGTANCACACAAAAGGAAGTATAGATCCATGACTGATTGGCAGGTGTGTTGTTGTTGTTGACTTCACATTAAACCGTATGCCAGTTGCTAAATGCCAAAATCTAGCAAAGACTCTCGGCCCGTGGTCACGAAAGTGCTGGAGCCATCTGAGGATCTAAAGAACACGCACACGTAGCAAGAAAAAGGTGTACAAGAGCCCGAAGAGGTACTACTACACCTATATATAATCCCTGCAGCACCGTACGCGTGCCCAAAACTGAACTACACGTCCGTCTCACCGTTCGACTACAGCAACATCACCCCCTACCTGTCCCACTCTGTACCAAAACGAATGATTGCCGACTACAGCATACTTGCTGTCTGAAGTGCTGTCTGTACAAAAACACCATGGTAGGCATGGAACAAGAAGCTGGCGGGGCACAAAGCTGCTGTCTGAAGTGCTGTCAGAATGTGTCTGCGGACGTACAGTG